GGCTAGCCCAGCTGTGTCTCGAGATCATCGAGCCTCGCGTGCCCTGTAGACACCGAGATGCCTGCCTCGTCACAGGCTCTCCAATTCATGAAAACTATTTCAGTTTCAAGTTCCATGGAGACATGCGAGAGGATGGCGGTCACAGAGACTCTTGCGCTCCATCTCCCTCACAGACAATGAAGTCAAACTGGTCGGAGCTGTTTGAACACGGCACAGGGAATGTGTTGGAATTGACTCCCAACTGCCCGAACGTTTTAACATGCGACACTTCACAACACCTAATATATTAAAACATGCAACTCTAATATTTCATTATCCAAATGTATGTTCTCCATTCTCATGAAAACTGTAGTCTTGGCCTGGACATACAAGTTGTTCTCATCAGTGATGGCACCTCTTTTCCCTCCCAATCTGAATTTCAGTTGATAACACATTCCCAAATCAACCTCTTGCTCAAGATGTTCGCGAGGGAGGCTGCAAAGCAGCAGGTAAAGGTGTATTCTCTGCTGAAAGGTAAGGAACAAAGACAACATTTCGGCTTTGGAGCCTCCTTCAGGTGAGCTTCTTGACACAAACACATCATCCTTCTTGTGTTTTTTTTTTAATACTATTTCTTGGATTTTTAATAGTATTTTTATAATACAATCTTGCTTTTTCTGAAGTGCACAAAGAGAAAAGGTTTAAAAGCCATATCATTCCAGTATAAGCAAGGATTCTCGTACAAACTCATGAGCTTTTTAAAATCGCAGTAATTCTGCGAAAAGCATTTTCATTTTGTATGTGACTACACTCCTCCCACTCTTTAGTCTGCTTCTTGTTTTCAGTCATTACATTTCACATTCACTCATTACTGTCACTGTTTTCAGTCATTAGTTAAATAAATTTTTGCATTTGCATGACTGTGACATTTTCTAGGACGTTTTGAGATTTTAATGTCACCTCCCACAATTATAATACTGTAACTAATTTAGTCCATAATTTAAATAAGTAAAGTTTTTTAAATCACAGACCTAACTATTGGAATCTGGATATCAGTTAATTGACTAGAAAAACTATTTGCAAGAGTTCATGCAAGAGTTAACTGCATGAGTGTAATTTAAAAACCTATCTTTAATATCTTTAATCTTTAATTATATCTTTACAGAAACAAAATGTGTATGTCCACTTTTAAAAGCATGAACAAGAGACACCCTGAATGTGAAAAAAAAACAAAATCTTTCTAGTAAAGGCACCTAAAGGCATGGAAGTCATTCGCTCTCCCTGCTCTCTCTGTGCATGAGAAACACACCTGACACATCGACCCCCCCTGTGATCTGACTGCCCGGCTGAAGTGTGGCAGACACGCCACACCTCGACTCCAAACACCACTCGTCTCGCATGACAAGAAACCCCCAGTCGGTCCTGCAGGAAGCCGGAAAGCGGGAGTGTAACACCTCCAGGACATCGGTAACGAACTGCAGAGTCACACTACGGGCGACATCTGGGTTTCTGCACGCAGAGTTTGGCTAGCAGTTTCTTCATGCTGCTATGGGCTGGGTAAAACAAACATGGGGTTTCCCCCCCACTAACCAAACAAATTCAAATAAAAACGTGTTCCCTCTGGTGGGGGCGAGTACAGTCACCAGTGAGATCTGCTCGTGAAGGCTTCATTATAGGGTACGAACCCCCCTGCACAGCGCGATGGAAAGTCCTGCACTCCCATCCTGTGGACTTTCCAGGGGCGCACTGGGAGCAGGCCAAGCAAGAGAGGCGTGGATCTGAAGCTTGTGTGTGTTTACCGCGTGACATTACCGGCAGTAAACATTACCGGCAGGACACGTAACTTCTTTTAAAGAAACATGAATATTTAAAACACCTACCCACCCCACCCCCCCAGTCCCCCTTAAGATTTCGAAGTGCAGTCCTGACGCTGCTGGTTCAGGGCTGGCTGTGAGCAGGACTGCCCAAGCGGGGGCAGAATGTGCCGGGCAGCGCCAGCGAGCATGTTGGAGGAGCGCGTCAGAAAATAAGAACGGGCCAGAGGAAGAGGGGGGCCCCATCTTTCTTCTGTTAGGAGCCCTAAACACTCAGATTCTTAAAGGATTGTGTGAAAACTATTTTCGAAGACGTCTCAAGGGTTCTAGTCACTAGCCAAGCTGATTATCCATCCGCTCATTCATTTCTCTAACAGCTTTATTCACTATTCCCCACTACACTGACAATTTACAAACTTACATAAAAATGAACAGCGTCTCAGGATTACCAAAAGTCATGAAAACCGCACTACGCCTGTATGTTTTCAAAGACACTTTGTAAAAGAGGACCTAATTTAATGAAGAGAAGTGCTGTCCTTTTTCGGATTTAACCATAACATCGTGTCATATCCATACATTTCCAGCTTCATATTTTAAGGGCACTCTCAATGAGAAACATTTTAAATATAAAGTGAAACGGGGACAACACTGTTCTTCATCAGCTACGGTGCATTTAGACGTAGCATTAACAGGCATTAGCCTTTCAAAATAGCCATGTTGATCGTGTAGTCACTTATTCAAAATTCCCCAGTCCGTATTTTCCTTTCTTTGACATGAAAAGAGGCTATGTTCCCATGTTCATCGTGGTCTGCATGACATCCTTAGAACTGCTCATGTCGAACCCACACTCTATCCCTCTCATCATCGCCTGCACGCAGTACAGCCCTGCAGAAGCACGGCCACTTCCTGTCTGAGCTGTTCTTTCCCCTTGCAGAGGTCAAATGCATTACTCGGTGGTGGGGGGGGGGGTATTAATATTCTGGCCAGCAAGTGTATGGATTATGCACAAAAGAGGAAATCATTTCACTTCCTTTTGGACATTCCCCAAACTACAGAATTGTGAGAAGGGGTTCTCTTATTACGCTGGCGGTGGCGGGTGAGGCCTACTGTACCTCCGAGAGTGAGTGCTCCTCCAGAGACAGGCCCTCCAGCTTCACTGCCAGCACACAGGCCTCCAGGCCCTTGACGTGATCCAGGGCCTCAGACAGCAGGGCCTGCAGGGCCGCAGTGTACTCCTGGTAGCCACTGAACACCGCAGGCTGGGGATGACAAAACGAGTTTGACAAAACCAGTATGCAAGCCTAGTGCCGCATCTACAAGCCAAGCTTGCCCTGCACACCGGAATGTGAACCTTGTTCAAAAATGATCAAATAAAAGAGAACAAAAAAGGGCATTTTACTGGCATCCATTCCAGGGCACAGGGCTGAATGCCATTCCATTGCAGGGCATACAGGGGCGATTAACAGACACCGATGAACCTAGCCAGCATGTTTTTGGATTGTGGGAGAAGATCAGAGCACAACCTATGAGAACACACAAACTGCCCACAGATGGGTCCCCAGCCCAGAATCAAATCCAGAGACTTAAAGCCAGGAGGCAGACAAGACCAGTTATGACATCTCTACATCCTATTGCGTGAAAATAAATAAATATAGGTGTTTAATAAGATGCCCTTTTGAGCTTCGAATGGGTCCCACTTATCTGACGCTTTCTTCAGCTCAAACCAGGGGTCTTGCCATTTTTTTTCTTCTTTCGAATTTTAGTGTGAAGCCCTGCGGTCAGCGAGCAAAAATGTTCCAAACAGCAGACACTTCAGTCCGTGCTCCTCCAGGAAACGGACACAGACAACTCTGTAATCACAGAGTGAACCGATGCCACTACATTCCTAACTAGCTGACTGGGAGAATAAGAATAACTGAGCCATCTGCTGGTCCTGCCTGCTTCTGTGTGGGTACAGACACACCTGGCAACTCCAAACTGGGTCGGTACCTATTAAAATTCACCATTTTCTACTAAAGAAAGGAAGCATGATTGCCACATTTTCTGCTTCAGTGCTTGTTGTGCAATGAATGCCTTCCTGGCTATTGCTCCGTGCTCCGTTACAACAGCAGGGGAAATGGAAGCCGTTTCAGGCTGAAGTGTTAATATTGGTGGAGCAGCTGAAATGCAGGCCTGCTAGCTATGCCTCTCATGCTCCATTACATAATCCCTCATCTTAGATTTCTCATGCAGGAGAGCTGTTCTCCACATCAAATCTCTTGATTCAAAGGGGCTTCTTGATTTTTCCAAAGCAATATTCCGAAGCAACTAGCTGACGTAATCTATACGCTGCAAGAGTTATCAAAAGCACACATCTTACACCACTGATCAACAACAGGTGTTCAGAGCAATCAGCTCCCTCAAAGACAGCTTAGGACCTTACTGTGGTTGTGTTGGTGTCCTTTTTCTTCTTCTTCTTCTTCTGTAAACTGGCCTTCAGAGGTCGCAGAACACTACCACAGTAACTGGAAACCCACAGGACAACGCAGACGGTCTGGGGAGCAGAAACAGGCTGTGTCAAACCTGGAGCACTTGACCACAGAAACACTGTAAGGACAGGAATTTCCAAAGGCACAGTACAGTACACCCAGTCACCACACAGTCCATCCTACTAATGATTAATGGAAAAAAAACAGGCGCCACAAAACAAATTATCCTTAATTTTTTTTACATAAAGGTCACATCTGTTTACCAATCATTACCAAGCCCAATATTGTAAATCTTATGGCAATCTTAGACTCGAATAAACTACATGTATACCCTAGCAAACTTCCAGTTTAAACGAGAGTATTGTATTTTTACAACTGTTCATTCAATTTTTACAAGAAGTCAGCCTGGTCTGACGGGGTTTAGGATGGAAGACGAATCAGAGCTGAAGGCTGTAAACCACAACTTTCAAATCAGCCGTGCAACAGTCTTGATCACAAGACAAATCCAGTGAGTGAGCCCCTGCACACACAGAGGCCACTCAATTAAAAGTGTGGTTTGTTCAGGTCAATTTGTGCACCTTAATTAAATGAAGCTCTGCTACAGCAAAGGGTTTGAACCCTTGTTATTCAGTCATGACCTTTTAATTTTTCTTTCACAGTATTTAGCTCTTTATTTTTGTTTTATGATTTGAATTTGTCAAGTAGTTGTGTACATAAATACTGCTGCTTCAAAGCGTCATGACTGAAAACTTTACAGCAACACAACATGAAAACTGCGCAAGGGTCTGAATACTTTTACAAGGCTCTGTAAGTTAAGCACTGCTTGATTGTTTAAAAAGGGAATCATGTTTCTAATAAAAAAAGATCTAGACGATTTCTGCTGAAGATTCGGCTACATACAAATGATCCGCTCCACATTACTGTATTTAAAAGTTAATAATTATGAACAGTATTCCTTCCCTTGATTTGTCTTGCTGACAGAAGAAATTTAGCTTTATTTTTCTTGTTCGTAATTGGTTTCAAGTTCTGAAATTCCCTTAACCAGCAGGTGAGAATATCCAAAGAAAATGTTCAAAGATGCATTCAAACCCTTTTAGTCTAATATCTAGGGTGATCAAGAAAACTCACCTCCACAAAGAACACTAAGTTTTCTAAAAGTATCGGCTTGGTTTTACACTGACAGTCTTTAACGTCCAGTAGATCACCTTTGCATTTACTAAGTAACTCTGAAAAAGAAAAACAACAGAACAACTTAACATTCTGAACGTAAACACTTATAAAACTTTCATGAATTCTATTTGGATAAAAAACTACATTTCACACAGAAAACATTGCTTATGTACAACAAGTAGAAAGTTTTTTTTGCAAAGCTGAGGTTCAGTGAGGTTAAGTTCCTGTTGCTTACAAAATGTGGCAGAGAGTCATGATAAATTGGAGTATTTGTCTAATCTGTCTGGCCTTGAGGAAGGGAAAGGCTGCAATGCCTGTATTTTAGCGAGCTAGTTACCGGAGAAACTTTAACCTCCAGCACCGAAAACTGTGGTTTAATTATTTCATATAAATTGAGTGCCACTAAATACGTTTAATAACTACATTTAATTATTATTAATAGTTATTGCCACTTCTTTCACACAACTCACTGTGTAATTCCCCAACTGCATATTCAACGATATCTCAGTGACTGACAGTGAGGGCAGCAATGTGAGTCTTTTAACACTGACTCGGGGACTCTGTGGGCCTGTTTTCACTTTTGTCAAAAACGAGGCTGTTGGCGCCAAACCAATGCTCCTGTGTCTCCAATTCTTTTGACTTTAAATGAGAATGAGCAAGACTCAGACTCCTGTAGTCCTACTGAAGACCAGACCACTATCTTATATAAAAAAAACCTCATTTTGAAAAAGAAGAGAAAAGTTCTTAATGATGGGTGATAAAAATGAGAAAGTGAGCGGCAGCACATGATATCTGTTGGCCAATGCATATGCAGTAGTTTATTGTCTAAAAAAATCCTACAAAGAAAACTATCACAGCTGATGCATCTGAAACAAGTGCTGAAACATGATGAGTGGGATGAAAAACCTTAGAAACCAAGTCTGAAGATTCAGTAGAGATAGTTTTCCACCCTTACCTCTTAGCTGTGCTATTAAAGATTTAAAGCTGTTCCCTATTCTCGTTTGGACCTCTGTTGTGTCTTCTGAAAGAAACAAGGAGAGAGATGGATTTGTACTGATCTGTAAAATTAAAAACGGAATCAACCGTTCTTACGTGTAATTAGAGACCCTCCTAACCCTATACACCCAATTGATCTGTTTAAAAATCAATTCACATGACACCTCTACACTGTTATTACTGCAGCCACTGTTACACTGTCTCTGGAGCGTTCTCACTAGGAAATGCATTATTTTGGTCAAACGTTTAAAATACAGTTATAGCCACACTTACACACAGTCTAATGACAATCCTCTCACAACCAGATACACTTGTTCTACTGTAGGCACTTTAATTTGGAAAGTCACAAATGCAAATGAGCAGAAACTGAAGCACCCCGGGGGGGGGGGGGAACACGCAAGCTCCACACAGACAGCGCCCCAGGTCTGGAACTGGACCCTGGGCCCCAGCGCTGCGAGGCGGCAATGCTACCCACTGCGCCGCCACGCCACCTCTTTTGATAAAAAAAAATACAGATCGCAACTAAGGAAACGGTCTGTTCACGTGGGGGGGTCGAAAATGATCCAAGCAGCCCAGAGCTACAAACATGACTTCCAGCGAGAACGGGCCACAGAAGATGAGCTTTACCCAAGCCGTGGGAGTCCAGGTCCTGGAGGTCACTGACCAGGTGGAAAGCGCTGGCCTGGCACTGACAGCTCCCGCTGGCGAGGGCAGGAGACAGGCGCGTGGCGGGAGGCCCCAGGAACGGGTACTGCGGGGGGCACACACACACACAGGCAGGGCTCGCTTCAGCAAGGGCAGGCGTCTCTCGGGGCCTCACAACAAGCCAGCGGGGTCCCGGTCGAGCAGCGGGATCGACCTACAGCACCACGCGTTCTGTCCGACGCGATCGCCTCTTTCAGAGAGCAACCCTGTGTCTTTTCTCCCGTTTGCTAAAGCAGTATCCTGATCTCATCATCCTCCAGACAGAATCAGAACTGCAGGACGGGGTAACGGACCAAACGGATGAGTGCCAAACATTTGCAACGTGTTTTTTTCAGGCCATTATGCTGCACCTTAACAGAATTAACAAACAGTAAATCCCCATAGCAAGAACAGCAATTGCATGTTTATGGAACACAAACCACATGTACATCTGCTGACAGGATTTTCCTTTAAAAATGTTGGTTTAGAACTTTGGTTGATAAGAAAAACGTTGATCCATTTACTGCAGCTTACATCTGAAACCGTATGTTTTCATTGCAGCTGGTCCCATGGCAAACACTGTTCTTTCGTTATCAAAAAACACAAACTAGAAGTTATACTAAAGAACGGTGAACGGTTTTAACCCTCCGGCCGTTACAGTTTGCAGCAGTGTATGGAGTTAACCTTCACAGCACCGCTGGATGCCAGTCTAACGTGTGTAAAAAGACACGCGGCCTCGTGAAGAAAGTGAACAAGGTTCAAGAGGGTGAAGCCGTTCCCGATCCCTGTGTTGTGTGCGGCAGGTCGCATCATTTCAGCCTTTGAAAAGCTCCGTCTGCGCTCTAAGACAACAGCACACCCCCAAACAGCAAGGGGCGTGCTTCTGCCTCTTCCGCGTGAGAGACGCCGTCGGAGAGCCGGTGGGCGGTACCTGGACGTTCCTCTCCGTGAAGGCCCTCCCCGTCTCCAGCGCCGTCTCCAGCTGCTTCAGCAGCGAGCGCAGCGTGTCCGGCTTGGAGGCCACCCCGTTCTCCGCCGTCTTCTCCGAGTTCCTGGGCGCGACGGGGGGGCTGAGGGCGGCGAGGGAGCCCACCAGGCGCAGGGTCAGGGCCCGGACGCGGAGCCACAGAGCCTCCTCTTCCAGGGAGAGCCGCCGATGCTCCTCAGACAGCTGCCTGGGAAACAACACCAGCCCACTCCGTCACCGGCCCGGCGAGGCCCGACCCAGAGCGAGGCCTGCGGCACACCGAGCCCACCGTCCCCGTGAGGGTCC